AACTATTATGACAGGTCCAAGGACTGACTTATGGACCGGACCGCTCCATAAGAGAGATGAAAACCGGGTCGATCCAATTCTAATTTTGTAATATTTTATAAATAAAACAATCTATTTAGTATTTATTAAATTTAAAATAATATGTATAAATAATAAAAGACCGGTCTAGACCGATTCTCAAAATATGGACCGAGGATAGCAAGGACTGATCCTATTAACCGGTCTAAGACTGATCTTACCAGGACCGATCCATCCCTAAGCATGTGACTTGAAATTGGCCAATCAAATCATACGTAAAATTCTATCATCAGATATTCAGAAATGGAAAAACATTATTCCGTTTTAAAAAATGTTACAGAGAAAAAAAAATTTATCTAACTTCAAGAATACAATAAGAGGAGACGACTCTCTTTTGATGAAATGAAAGAAACTGAGACTAATGAAAAGGACACAGTATTTACTAAGAGAGAAAATAAGGAAATTGAAGAGAAGAAAGAGACGCAAACATGTCCACTTGCAGAACTCATATGGAATAAATCTGAAAAAAATAAAAGAATAATAAAAGGAATATCAAAAACAACCTATTATCGTAAGTTTGGTACTTCCAGTGTACTTGCTAATGCTTCTAAAGAAATATCTAAAATTACTAGTTTTTGGAGTAATGGTGGTTTGGTTAGTAGTTCTTTGTATTATCCAAATTTTCAGCATCTTCAAATAGGTGTGTCAGTAAATTTGCTGGCAGTTCTGTTTTATTTCTATCCCCATCTCCATCATCTCCACCTTTATCTCTATCTCCATCTTCTTTTTCATCTCCTCCATCTCCTTCTCCATCTTCTTTTTCATCACCATTACCTTTTCCTACATTACCTGTGTCTCTGTCAAAAAAAGATGAAAGTTTGATGCTTTGTGAAAGAATTGCGCAACTTCGAAATGACCTTTTTAACAATGGAAAAATACTCACAGTTTTCGAATATAACAGACAGTGTGCTGTCTATGAATATTTCACACAGCTAAATAATGGCTATGGAAAAATAAAAGCTAGTAAAGAAGTAATACAGATGGTTTATATTATTTCAAAGCTATATACCGCTAAATGGATTTGTTCTTTGGCCAAATTTTACTTGAATCACAAATCATTTCCAGTTTCATACTGTGGCAAGCACCAAAACTATGAACAACTTGTTGATGATAAAGATATTACATTGAATTTGCGATAATGATTATGACAAAAACGGGCTTAAACAGTATTAATGTGACTCATTTTAAGCAATATATTGAAGATTTTATTTTGCCTGAACATGCAAGAAACTGAAAAACAATTAGTATAAGAACTGCCGAAAGATGGTTGCATATATTGGGATACAAATATGAAGGATATCGAAAGGGTATTTATCATGATGAACACAACAGGAAGACATTGTTACATATCGAAAAAAATTCTTGAAAGTAATGAAAGAATTGGAACAACAAATGGCAAGATATGAAAGAGAAGAAATGGATGCAATTCTACCAGTATTCAGACCAGAAAAATGAGAATTAATTCTTATTACTCATGATGAATGTATTTTCTATACAAATGATGGAAAAAAGAAAATTTGAATACCTGATGGTAAAATGCTATTGTGAAAGAAGGGAAACAGAAAATCGATTATGGTGAGCAAATTTCTTTCAGAAGCTTGTGGTTGGTTAAAACTTAGTGAAGAAGAGGCAACAAGAAATCCAAATATTCCTACAGAA